GGTTGGTGGATGAGTTTGGTAGGGAATGTAAAAGAAGAAAATTAAAAGTGAATACAGGAAAGAGTAAAGTGATGAGGATAACAAAAAGATTACGTGACGAAAGATTGGATATCAGGTTGGAGGGAGAGAGTATGGAGGAGGTGAATGTATTCAGATATTTAAGAGTGGACGTGTCAGCAGATGGGTCTATGAACGATGAGGTGAATCATAGAATTGATGAGGGGAAAAAGGTGAGTGGTGCACTTAGGAGTCTGTGGAGACAAAGAACTTTGTCCATGGAAGCAAAGAAGGGAATGTATGCGAGTATAGTTATACCAATGCTCTTATATGGGTGTGAAGCATGGGTGGTGAATGTTGCAACAAGGAGAAGGCTGGAGGCAGTGAAGATGTCATGTTTGTGAGCAATGTGTGGTGTGAATATAATGCAGAGAATTCGTAGTTTTGGAAATTAGGAGGTGTGGGATTACTAAAACTATTATGCAGAGGGCTGAGGAGGGGTTGTTGAGGTGGTTTAGACATGTAGAGAGGAAGGAACAAAATAGAATGACTTTGAGAGTGTAAAAATCTGTAGTGGAGGGAAGGCGGGGTAGGGGTCGGCCTAGGCAAGGTTGGAAGGAGGAGGTAAAGGAGGTTTTGTGTGCGAGGAGCTTGGACTTCTAGCAAGCATGCGTGAGCATATTAGATAGGAGCGAATGGAGGCAAATGGTTTTTAGGACTTGACGTGCTGTTGGAGTGTGAACAAGGTAACATTTATGAAGGGATTCAAGGAAACCGGCAGGCCGGACTGAGTCCTGAAGATGATAAGTACAGTGTCTGCACTCTGAAGGAGGGGTGTTAATGTTGCAGTTTTATAACTGAAGTGTAAGTGCGCCTCTGGCGAGACAGTAATGGAGTGAATGATGGTGAAAGTTTTTCTTTTTCGGGCCACCCTACCTTGGTGGGAGACGGCCTATGTGTTAATTAAAAATAAATTGCCATGGGTTCGATCGCCACAAATTCTCTGATTTGATTTCCACCGCATGTATGTTGCAGGGTCGAGACTGTCCAATAAAGTAGTGTATATTCACAGGAAGAGCAAATCTGTACAATATATAGAATTGTAGAGGAATTCATAGCGAGCAGTTGCATGATTCTTGGCTGCATGATCTACCTCATATCCGACACAGACAAAGATGTCAGCCACAGCACCGTGTCTTCCTTTGCAGATGACACCCGAATCTGCATGGCAGTGTCTTCCATTGCAGACACTGCAAAGCTCCAGGCAGACATCAACCAAATCTTTCAGTGGGCTGCAGAAAACAATATGAAGTTCAACGATGAGAAATTTCAATTACTCAGATATGGTAAACATGAGGAAATTAAATCTTCATCAGAGTACAAAACAAATTCTGGCCACAAAATAGAGCGAAACACCAACGTCAAAGACCTGGGAGTGATCATGTCGGAGGATCTCACCTTCAAGGACCATAACATTTTATCAATCGCATCTGCTAGAAAAATGACAGGATGGATAATGAGAACCTTCAAAACTAGGGAGGCCAAGCCCATGATGACACTCTTCAGGTCACTTGTTCTATCTAGGCTGGAATATTGCTGCACACTAACAGCACATTTCAAGGCAGGTGAAATTGCCGACCTAGAAAATGTACAGAGAACTTTCACGGCTGCATAACGGAGATAAAACACCTCAATTACTGGGAGCGCTTGAGGTTCCTAAAACTGTATTCCCTGGAACGCAGGCGGGAGAGACACATGATTATATACACCTGGAAAATCCTAGAGGGACTAGTACCGAACTTGCACACGAAAATCACTCCTACGAAAGCAAAAGACTTGGCAGCGATGCACCATCCCCCCAATGAAAAGCAGGGGTGTCACTAGCACGTTAAGAGACCATACAATAAGTGTCAGGGGCCCGAGACTGTTCAACTGCCTCCCAGCATACATAAGGGGGATTACCAACAGACCCCTGGCAGTCTTCAAGCTGGCACTGGACAAGCACCTAAAGTCAGTTCCTGATCAGCCGGGCTGTGGCTCGTACGTTGGTTTGCGTGCAGCCAGCAGCAACAGCCTGGTTGATCAGGCTCTGATCCACCAGGAGGCCTGGTCACAGACCGGGCCGCGGGGGCGTTGACCCCCGGAACTCTCTCCAGGTAAACTCCAGGTAAACCTGCCTCATCGAAGACATGTTTCAAGGTGTAGACTTAGATATACGTATTCCCTTCCGAGGATATATAGTTCATCAGAGTGGTATATATCTTTCATTCATTGTCAGAGCAGTACCATCAGTGCCATCATGCTCCCTAGAGCCCATCACCTGGTGTTTATCAACAGTGACTGTGCTATATTAATGCTTATCCCGACCAAACATACCCACTAATTTGTGATTGATGGCGGGCTGGTGAGTGGGCACCTAGTGTCTTGTATAAGTTGATGTTATAATGCAGTCACTTGTGTAGGTGAGGGATTCACGAGTGAGGTGAAGCAGGTCTCTTAGGCGGACATACCAGAGCAAGGCACCCAAAACACTCCACTGTGGTGGTACGCTACCATCGTTTGAACACCTTTCAGACCACATTAGTGCAGAGAATGTAAGCAAAACAGACCACTACTCTCTCTCTCTCTCTCTCTCTCTCTCTCTCTGTCTACCTATCTATCTATATATCAATCTATCTATCTATCTATCTATCTTTGCATTATTTAGTGTTCTACAGACATATGAACTATACAGTACCATCCGTGCTACCACGACCTGTTCCTCCAACCTGAGGCTGCTTCTGATGCGTGTTCTCAGGTGTCATTTAATAAAAATGCATCAGAATTTGATTCCAGGTGTCAGTCAGTATTGCAAACTAAGTGTCAACGTTACAAGGTTGTGTTTATGTCTTCCTGTGAGCTAAGATGACAAGCCACATTGTCCTTGTACCTCCCTTAAAGCCGCCACATTGTCCTTGTACCTCCCTTAAAGCCGCCACATCAAGCTATTGTTTTGTACTGACCAGCCTGCAGGAAGTCCAGCTTTTTTTCATGCTTATTTATCTACATATATTTTAAAGAAGAATTCTCACACTTTGGAGGAGGATGGGTATATATATATATATATGGCTTCAGGAAGAAATCCAAATATTCTTCCTTGAAGCCTTTTTATCCACTTCTCCGAGGCTATGGGTCCCACAATTTACACCAGAGGTGGACCCCATCCTATATATATATATATTATATAATTAATATATATATATATATATATATATATATATATATATATAACAAGTCGGCCGTCTCCCACCGAGGCAGGGTGACCCAAAAAGAAAGAAAATCCTCAAAAAGAAAATACTTTCATCATCATTCAACACTTTCACCTCACTCACACACTATCACTGTTTTTGCAGAGGTGCTCAGAATACAACAGTTTAGAAGTATATACGTATAAAGATACTCAACATATCCCTCCAAACTGCCAGTATTGTACTTCCCATTTCCAGGACTCAAGTCCGGCTATATAAAATAACCGGTTTCCCTGAATCCCTTCACTAAATATTACCCTGCTCACACTCCAACAGCTCGTCAGGTCCCAAATACCATTCGTCTCCATTCACTCCTATGTAACACGCTCACCCACGCTTGCTATAAGTCCAAGCCCCTCGCCCACAAAACCTCCTTTACCCCCTCCCTCCAACCATTTTGAGGACGACCTCTGCCCCACCTTCCTTCCCCTATATATAATATATATATATATATATATATATATATATATTTTATATATATATAATATATTATATATATATATATATATATATAGACACTGATCTCTGGCTGAAGGAGACTCGAACCTACGAACCTTAGTACAAGGTACGCAGTGCTTTACCAATCTACCTACACTGGACCAACACTGGACCACACTGACCAACTGGTAAAGCACTGCGTACCTTGTCCTAAGGTTCGTAGGCTCGAGTCTCCTTCAGCCAGAGATCAGTGTTTGTGTATATTTCGCATGCTCTCGCGAATTCTTTGCATATATATATATATATATAATATATATATATATATATATATATATATATATATATATATTAAAACACTGATCTCTGGCTGAAGGAGACTCGAACCTACGAACCTTGGAACAAGGTACGCAGTGCTATACCATTCTCACCACACTGGACCAATACCTTCGCCTGCTCTTGCGAATTCCTTGCATTGTTAAAATCTCTAGTAAGGCTGATGCATGCAGGGGATGAGATGAAAAGCTGTAAGCCTTCTCCCTGAAAGCTGGCTGCCTTGGATCAAAGTCTAACCAAGGTATTGGTCCAGTGTGGTGAGAATGGTATAGCACTATGTGCCTTGTTCCAAGGTTCGAGTCTCCTTCAGCCAGAGATCAGTGTTTGTGTATATTTTGCCTGCTCTTTGCGAATTCCTTGCATATGAAGAAGAAAGAAAATATATATATGTATATATATATATATATATATATATATATATATATATATATATAAAATATAGTATATATATATATATACATATATATATATATATATATATATATATATATATATATAAAAATATATAAATATATATATATATATATCCGGGAGCAAGGGGCTAGTAACCCCTTCTCCCGTATAAATTACTAAATTTAAAAAGAGAAACTTTTGTTTTTCTTTTTGGGCCACCCTGCCTTGGTGGGATACGGCCGGTGTGTTGAAAAAAAAATATATGTATATATTTATATATATATATTGTAATACTTCAGTCTAATGCAGAATATGATTGTAAATCATCTGGGAGAGAAAACCATATAGGGAGAGGCTTGAAGGATGTAAATACAACCAGACAGGAGATAAATACGAGTGATGTACTGAATGATACAAGCGTGGGTTGTCAGTCACCAACATGGACTCAGACTGTGACTGTGGCTGTGGCTGTGACTGTGGCTGTGACTGGGGTCATGTGCAACACCAACCTTCATGTCATTAAATTCTCGTTATGGTGTTGCTGTGTTGCAG